CCCCCCCCCCCCCCCCCCAATGTTCCCACGGCATGTCCCCTCATCCTCGTACTCCCCTCGCGTGCTTCCCCCTTCAACCTTAACTAGGCTGAGTAACACCGCCGTGTTTCAAGGCCGTTCGGTCGGAGCGATCACAAACCCCGTGTATCCTGTGGCCATCGTGATGGAGGATGACGATTATTAGTTCTGAATGTTTTTCTCTTGCTTGTTCTCGTTTTTGGGGTGATGGCGACGGTGATCGGGAAGCGAAATACCCAGCCACATTCGCTCGCCTTGAGTTGGTGGATGACACCTGTCGTTTGTTTATTGCAAACCTGCCTGTACTCCGCAGTCGCTTGCACGCCGGGTCAATTTGTCCACGCTTCCGGTTCTTGGCCAAGATTTTCCCAATGAGGTTCTGGCTTGTGTTTTTCCCGCAGAATTATCTGTTGCGATTTTCCAAGGTCATATTTTCGTCAAGAGCAGGAACAGGCTCGACATCAGAAGAGTAGCGCGGGGTTGGGAAGGTCTAGTCGCGAGCGTTTCATAGATCCGCGTGTAGACTTGGTGCTCGTAACCAATATTTTGTGGAAAAATATTACCTTGGGGAGCGGGCGGTAGCTACGACTCACGGCCACATAGTTTTCGATAGAACCTGTCCATTGTCGGTTGTTCCTTCGGTTGTACACGCTTGGGGAGCACCACTGTAGAATAGGCGGCTACGTTTGTTTGGCGGGTATTGTGCTACACATGCGGCAGCCCCAAGAGTGTTTATGCGAAAATTCTGACGTACAGGTATGGATGGATGGATGGATGTGGTGGAATGTTTTGGCGTTTTTTTGTTGTGGGCCTCTCGCGGTCGTGGAGACCAGTGAGTGATTCCCCAAACGCTCTTCGCGGTGCCGGTAGGTGAGAAGACAGAAAAATGGATTGATCTTCAAGAATGGTTGTATTACATTTACGGCAGGAATTAACGCACGGTATCCGTATTGTTCGATGCACTCCTTACATTGCAACAAAAACTTGCGCGGTGCAGAACAAGCGAACAATTGCAACGGTAGCCAACCCTAGTGCAGGCCCGTGTACCCCCCACGCCACTTTGATCTTATCTCCTACCGCACGGTGACCTGACTCGGCACGGTTTGAACCGCGCGCCTTTTGATGAGCCAACGAATGCAAAACACCAACATTGCCAAGATTGGACAACTAGACTGCGAGCGCTGCCACTTCTCCCTTGCTTCTACACCTGTTGACACTGCTGTTTTGAAGTGTGCACGCGAGATCCTCTTCCAAAGAGCTCTCGTTCGGACACCTGTTGTCCCAAAGCCTCGGACCCTCTTCTTGCCGACACTGCAGCCCCACACCGCTGTCGGTGATTCTGACGGTGAAAGCAATGCCACTCTTGTGCTCTACACTGAAAACTATACGTCCCTCAGTGCATCCACCCTTCTATCCGGTGCTATTTTTACATAGGCAAGTTTGAGTTATCCTTATTCTTGACCGCATATGGTTCCGGAATGTTCAAGTACAAGACGAAGGGGCTATCAGTAGCTTTGGACTAGTGTCGAGTCTCCGCCCCCTTCGGCCGCGGTAGCCGCTGCCGCTGCTGTCGCCGCCTCGCGTGCAAGTACTTCTTCACGCAATCTTAGGCTCCTCCTGGGGTTACGCATCGGGAAATATGCAAGAGTCATCGGGGGTAGCAACTGTGAGGTTAGGATAATATGATAACATCTCCGGAGCAATGCTGAGGGACAAGGGCGTTACTACGACTCCGCCGGCGCTTGGACCCCGTGCAACACTTGGTTTTCGAAATAGCGTACTCCATAGTATGCATAGGCGCAGCGTTAAATCGCGGCCTTAAGCTGCTCCTGGCACCAAACGTCCTGCACAGCAGGGAAAAAAAGACTATAGCATCGTTGAACCCGTTTCCAACTACTTCGATTTGTACGGGCAGCGCTCCGTAACAATGCTTTCTAACAACCGCCACTCACGCACTGCGACCCAGCTAGACAAATGAACATCTTCGTCACCGATGAAGTTCTTTTATTACCTCTGTCCCGTTGTACTCTAGTCTAGTGACTTCCAGTGTGGTCTCTTCACACACTTAGTACAATACAGGTTCCGACCTCGACGAGGTCCCCACACAACATCCGTACCGACCCCCAAAAATCGCGCAAATCACACTACATACAACCAATGCCAAAACTCACGCCAACGCCATGCGAGCCCGCCCGGCCGCGTTCCTTATCGCCTCCCTCTGGTCCTGCTGCTGCGCCGCGAGGACCTTCGCTTCCCTCTCCGCCGCGGTGGCCTCCGGCGTGAGGCCACGCTCCAGATCGCCACGGCAGTAGGGGCAGCCCGTGTTGCCGGCTCGTCGGTTTTCCACCAGGCATGCCCGGTGGAACATGTGCTGTGTTGGTTTATTAGGGGGGGGGGGGTGATGAATACCGGGACAAAGACGAACATGCAGAGGATGAAGATGACTAGCCTCGTGGTGGAGAAGACCATGAAGAAGCCTTGAAGGAACTACATAGGTTTGGCGGAATCACAGCCGCGCATGCCGTAGTCGTTAGACCATTGACCTCGCATCCCTACAAAGGCGGGGGGGCGGGATGAAAGAAAATGAGCGCGTTGGAAGGGCTGGTTGCAGGGCTTGGCAGAGCGCCTTCTGCGCCGACTCCCAGCCTACGAAGCGCTACTACTGTGCTGTATTCTCTTACCAAGTGACACTCATCGGGTTGACACGTAAGTCACGTACCACCAACGGGAAATGGGAAGGGAGTGACACACGGCATGTGGTTCTCTCGGTCAAAGATGTCCAAGGCCTGTGCTTCCAAAGTTACCACGTTTGAAATACTCGTGGTCTCTCTCCCCCCAACCAACGAAAGAGATAACCTGCTTGTTTTGAGCAAGGAACGGTTTCCGTGGCTTCTCTCACCACCTTAGCACGGAACAAATATGTCTCCCCCCCCGTTATCTGTCTGTCTGTCGGCCTCGCTCATTTCGATCCGAACTGGAAAACCCGCACGGAAACGTTTGGGATACAAGCGGGTGTCGATTTCTTGTATACTATACCTCCTGAAAATGGTTTCTTCTGTGAGATTTCACGTTCTACTGGAATGGCCTACCTCGCCCCGAAAAATAGTACGGTAACACTAACCTGGCACAGCCGAACGGTGTAGACCTCCTTTTTAGCCCCGGATGGCTTCTTCAGTGGGCTAAGGCAAATCGCGCAGCTTCCGCCTCGGCACGCCGGCGTCGTCAGCTCCGCCCTCCCTTCGCCATCCCCAACGCTAGCCCGTTCACCATTGGCCATCTTCCTAACGCTACAGCTACCTTTGCTGCTGCTGCTGCTGCTATTGCTGCAGCGGTGACGCGCGTCATCCTTTCTGCACGGTGTTTGGAACACAGCCGGTGCTGCTGCTGGGACTGTAGCTGGTACAGCCGATGGAGGAGCCAGCACTTCTGGTCCTTGCGTGGCACTCCCAGGTGTTTTTGGCCTCGTGGGGGTTGCTGCTGCCGCTGGTGGACATCCTGGAGCAGGAAATAGGGGCGAGGGGCATTGTTGAGATGTGGAACTCCTGGTGCGTAGCAGTATACTACCCGGTTGAGAACAAGTCTGGCTGCGATGAAGTCAGTGTTTATTGTGATGTTTAGGCTTTCGATGCTCGGGTTAACGAATGTACATCATGGTCTTTGTGTGAGACAAACAATCAACGTCCGAGAGAAAGCCCGGGCGAGGAGCGCAAAGTAGAACCGTGGAGTGCGCCCATGAGGGTGGCAGTTGGCTGTACAGCAGCCACAGACATGACCAACCGCCAGGGGTTGGGGAAGAGATGCGTTGAAACAGCTCTATGCAAAGGGTTTTGAGCATGCTACACTTCAGTTTGGGTTCATCGTTGCACCGTCGTTGTGTGCGGCTGTGCCGCAGGCTATACTAATTTATACAAGACACCTCTCCCGCTGAACCGATTTTCCAAAGGCGCTCGTTTTCTCTTCCGAAATATATTGATGGCGAGAGAAAAGGGCGGCGTTCGAACCATCTCCTAGGGAGCTTTCCGAAAATGTATCGTTTGATTTTGGCATTCTATTTGTCGTGGCGTGATCGAGCTTGAAACTCGGCAGGGCTGTGGTATCTTTCACAACCTACATAGACTACAGCCGTCAGTCGGTTATTGAACAAGCTCAAAGAGCGAAGGCTAAACGCGTTCGAAGGAGATGGAGAGCCAAAGGGCGGTCACGTGCAAAAATATTGCTCAAGCAGACGTTGCAGATCGAGTTCGAAGAGGCGGCTTGGACCACGCGCACGGCTTTCAGGTACTCATCCTCAGTGCTGGCTTGTGTGTACTTGCTGCACCTCGCCGTTGCGTGCCGTTGTGTGCGTGTCGGATGTCTGGATGTATGTTGAACAACATGATTGCGCCGCATTTTGTTTTCTCGCACTCAGCGGCGCCCATATGATTGTGTTGTCCGTTCTCAGCAGAGGCAAGCTGAAAACGGTACCACGACAGACCCTCCCATGTATTTTGTCACATCTTGACGTCAGTGCAAGCACATGCATGGGCAGCAAGAACTGCCATCGCAAAATGTGGCGGTTGGTTACTTTTTTTCCCGCCGGATGATCAACAGCTGGATGATATTCTGGCAAAAACAGCCAAGTCAGAGGCATCTCAGCCGCGGACGTGTGAAGAAGGAAGCAGGCCGGGTTGACTCACCGTTTTCATTCATCTCCAACAGGCACGACTGTTCTTGTTGTTATTTTCCGAACGCTGCTATGGCATGATGCGGATGCAGAACCACCCGGTCTCCCGCCAAAAGGGGCAACGCAACATGACTTCCAAATTCCGCGCATGTTCATCATTCTGCGGGGCCTCCGGCCAGGAACCGGATCCATGCCGCGCTGTCACATCGCAGAACCGGATCGCTTGCCGGGTGGCAGACAGAGCTGTGATCTCATGGCAATCCGCACTGCGGCTCCAAATTCAAACGACGTAGAAGAACGCAGCCGACGGAGCCAAGATGAGGGCGCAGGACCAAGAGAAACGAGCCAGAAAATGCTGTGCACGAAGATACGAAACCAAGCCAAGGAGTTGGCAGCGTTGACGGAACGCCTTCAGGAAGAGGCCGCCTACTCTCGGCTCGTAGAGAAGCGTTTGGTTGAGCTGGATCCGGAGCACTCGCTCCCCGTAACCCCTCACCACCTAGGCCGCCGTAGTCCGGAAAGCACTATAGCTCATCGCAGCAGTGGCAGTGTTGGCGGGTTGGGTCGAGGGTACCACCTGCAGAAGGCCGACCAGCTTTCGAATGAGGAGCATGATCATGATGACGGCTTGCGACAAGGATACGAGGCGGCCCAGGCAAGGCTAAGGGACGCCGCACAGCTTATCAGGACACTCAGAGAGGCGTTGGAAAGCAGGTAAGGCTCGTCCTGGTGAGGAGGGGCAGGTTACGGAGAGATGCTACTTTTTCCCTCTCGGTTCTTCTGCTGTCAGATATCGGACAAGTGAGAACAAACGGGAGGTTCGTCTAAATTGTAGAGAGAGAAAGGTCGTTGCAAGTGTAGATACCCTGTTTCTCTCTGAAGTCTTCGGCCTCTGTTGCGGGGCACGAAGAGATGATTTTTTTTACCCTCATTTCCCATCTCCTTCTCACTGCACACACACACACTGAAGACACATCTACTGTAAATATTGTGGAGAACAGGGTCATGTCTGCGGTTACCCGTCGCCGAGGCCCCTGCATAAAGACTTCGACTACTGCTGTATCACATCTCGAGCGGCGAAGCATCCTTATTTAAGTTCACCCATTCTCTCGCCCCTACCAAAAAAGTACTGACATTACCAGGGGGGAGTTCAGGGGCGATTCTCATGTTGCAGCCAGAGCTCAGCCTGACGCCATTGCCGGGGTCTTCGGCACCACAGGACTCCCGTGGATGCCTACCTGGTATTGTACAGGACGCCTCTCCTGCAAGAAATGGCCGCCTTTATCAATGTTGCAGCTGGCCAGTCTTTCTTGCCCTTTTTGGAAGATGTGTTTCCTACACAAAACCCAGGCCAAGCATCGTGTTGGTTCTCACGTTCTTCACGAATCAAGCCCTGAATTGCTTGAAAGGTGATCATCAGCACGGTGTCCCGTACCGTAAGCGAAGCGCACGCCTCGCGTGTTCAACGGTACTCACTTTCCACCTCGTGAGCTCATCCGCCCTCAGTTGTTCTTTGTTCGCGTCGTCATTCTCTTGTGCGACCCAGACTCATACTTCCCGAAAGTATACCCAACGGTGAAAAAACTGACGCCCAGAACAAACGTGAGCGATACCCACACACAACGCGCCCAAAGCTCACTGACCCTTTCCATTCCTCGCCCCGCGATACTCTCAAAGGGACGCCGACGCAAACGCAGCCGCCAACCGCGCCCGCAAATACCAGCGTGAAGCCGATGATCTCCGCCGACGGCTAGAAACCAGCGGTGGTAACGTTAGCCGGGCGAGCAAGGGCGGCAGCGGCGGCGGCCGTGTCGGAGAGAATCAGACAAGCTCTTCGCCATTGGGCGGAGAACAGGGCCATGGGAGGGAGCTTGGGATTCGCTTTGTTGATGATGACCGGGCCCGACAGCACCAGCAACATGTTGAGCTCAGCAAGGACGTGGAGCGGCTTGAACAGAAGCTGCGGGAGCAGAGGGAGGCAACCACCGCCGCTAGAACCGAGGCGAACGGGCTCCACGAGACGCTGAAACAGGCGGGTTGAGCACGCAAAGAGTAACGATTGGTGTTTTCTGGTTGCTTACGTAAACAGACTAGATCGTGATACCTAGACCTCTACCAGGGGGCTTGCCGTGAACGACGTTATGCTTTGGTACTTGCATGTTAATGGGAAAGAGACGGGACAGCCGAGTTTTTTTTTTTTTCAGGTTGCACCCGAGGAAAAGCGAAGCACAGGCTATTTGATGGCATGCTACAAGGGAACCTCGTTCCGGGAGAAGCTCCGCGCTTTATTTTCTTCGTGCTCTACACCTGTTACAGGCCATGTTTCTGCCACGCCTTCCGCCCGGACACCATCGCGCGGAGAACGGTCATGAGTAGTGTTCTCGTCCAGGACGAGGCTGATGCTACTCATCAGCTGCCCCTCTCGTAACTTTTTCCCTCGTCAATGGTGGTAGTGCTGCCTCATCGATCATGGCGTCCTTATCACTGAAGTGCTTTCCGCTCATCCCGTCCTACTCGCTGTGCCTCCCCATTCCTCTGTACTTCAAAACAATGTTCAGCTTCAACAATCGCACCATGTCGGCAATCTCAGCAGCCAGAGGGAGGGTGCCGCAGACGACGCTAAGGCTAACGCCGCAGAGCTGGCGCGACAGCTAGCGCGCGCTAGGTCAACTGCCGAGTCCTCCCGAGAAGAAAATAAAAACCTACGTCTCCAGCTGCGGGAGTTAGGGGGCGGCGGAAGCGGCCACGGCCGCCGTGGGGGTGGCAACGGAAGTGGAAACAGCAGTCATATTTCCAAGACGATGCCGCGCTCTACAAGTATCGCTAGCAGTAGTAGCGGCGGCCACGCAATTGTTGCAGCGGCAGCGCTTGGGGGAAGGCACACTCCGGCAGCAGGGTCCAAACCAGCACTGGCGTGCGAGTTGGGGGGTACGAGGGCTGCGAACGTGGAAGAGGAGGGTGGTGCGGACAGGGGGGGAAACGAGCTCGAGGCCGAAAAAGAAGCCCTCCTAGACTACGTGCAGGTGAGGCCTAGCTGGTCGTGATCTTGCTGTTGTTGTCGAACGATGTCGTTGTAGTGGTTGATCTGCGGATCACCTCCCCATTCTGTCTACCGCCGTTGAAGTTCGCAATGGTGATGTCTGTGCTCGGAGAAAGCAAGAAGATGTTGCTTGTATGTCGCTTGCCTGTTTTTGTTTGTATACTGTTCACGGTACGTATTGCAGTGGTGGCCATAATCTAGGTTCTAGGTTTGTGAAGATGTTTGTCACGGGTTACCTCCTACGAACCTGCCACAAGAACGCTACCACTTGTTTATTTTTGCTTATTGTTGGGTTACATGCACGCGCGTGCGCTAGCGTTCAACAGACGGGCGCGATACACGTGTGGAGGGGTAGACACCTCCCTTGATCTCGGGGATGTGTCACAATCCGCATGTCAGCTAAAAGACGGGAAATAATACCGCATGTAAACCGAATTACTGGGCCAACACTTTACCAACATCGCCAAATAACCAGCAAAGGTGCAAGCTTGCCAATATGACGCTATAGTCTAGCAGGTGATAGAACCATTGCAAATGGTACAAATCTTAGGGTTAGGGTTGATGAGTTTTGGTAGTTGCGAAGGATTTGGGTCTTGGAAACAACAACAGAGGAGGAGAGTGCAGGCATACTTGGCTGTCATCTCAGCTCGCGAACACTTTCTGTAAAACAGAAAACAAGGTCGAGAAATATGTTATCAACGTTTCCTACTGAAATCGATCGTGACTCCGCAGGACTTGTTGGGGAGAATCAAGGGGTTAGAGGCCGCCTGCGCGAGCCTCGAGCGAGAGCGCGGAGATAGCTCAATAAACCTCGAGAAGACGCGCAAAGATCTTCAGCAGAAAGAGAAAGCTATCGCCCAGGTGGGTGTGTTGTAGATCGTGGTAGGTCAAATCGTTCAGGGTCACACATCACTCCACAAGCAAGCGTTTCGGTGGTCATGGATTGCGGGTTGCCTGCGGAATGCCTCACACGAGTTAGGGTAGGTTTGCACGTGTGGGCCATCTTCCCTTATCGGACATGTGCACCTTGCGAAACACCTTGTCAAGGAACAACGCGAGATAACCTCGAGCCCGCGAAACGTCTACTACAGCACTTTGAGGCTGCTATTTTGGTGCCCGCACGGATTATTAATGCCTACATCGACAAGAAAACTCGAGATACCGCAATTCGCGATGCCGTTGTCTCCACCCTCCATCATGAAAACAACAGCTCTGACCCCCACCCAGAACATCTTGCTCCCGCGTTTGTCCAACCCGCGCAAGGTGGATCACATCGTCGTGGCCGAGCAAACCCAATTACGCGGAAATACGGGGACATATGCAAACACCTCTTTGCATCCGTGAGATGTTAGCCAGATGAGCTCGTCACAAATGCATAGCTGTGCGAAACAAAGAGAGGCGCTCAACACCCACGTGCCAATAATTGCGAACACCAAAAGATAAGCAGGTTAGCTGAGACTCCACCCGATTTTCAGCCCCAAGACCACAAGTAAACCTGCTGTACACATGACTTGAAGCGACGTCGAAAACTGACCATGGTCCTCGATATATTGTGCAAAATGAACCGGACCACCACCAAAAAGACGCAATCGCAGATCGAGGATTTGCAGAAGACGGAGAAGGTGGAGCGTGTAGAGAAGGAAGAGATGGGCCGACTGTACAACGAGCTTCTAAAGCAGCTCAAGACAGCTGAGGAAGAGAAGGAAAAACTCCAGGTATGAAGCCGGCCCCATTTAACTACTACCGACATATAATGCCACACGGATCCATCCGCCTTTGGATGGCGAACAAATTGAAGCCCGAATCTGTTCGAGAGCGGAGCGGGGCGTACACGATTTGAAATCAGGCAAAATGGAGCTATGCGTGTGGGTTCTAGGGGGTAGTACATTGGTCAGCTTTCGGTGTGTTCAAGAACGAAAACGAACAACTCGTCCACAGGGCCGATAAGGTGATCGACCTTCCTCAAGCGTGATAACAATTCACCGTAGGCGGACGGACACTGATTTACTTGTCGTGTAATTCGAATACCATGGTGTGGCATGGGGGGACGACGGAAGCCGACGCGTGGCCCCGTCGTCCGCTTCATTGCACTTTCTTCCCACAAGCCCTCCTGGAAAAAGCAGAAACGGGAACAAGGAGCACCTTCGTGAGCCAGCTGACAAATTTGAGTATCGAAGAGGACACCGACGAAAGAGAAGAAGAATCTCAAGCAGAATCTCAAGCAGCGTCTCAAGTAGTCTAGACTACATCATCGTCTATCACCATTGTACGATGCATCACCCTCTTTCTTCGGATGATACTCCACATGCACATAACTCTGCCAGGTTTCAAAACGAAAGTGCGCCGCAAAAATATTGGGTCTACTCTATTACCTACAGGTACATGTGTAGGTGCCAGCAGTAGTAGCGCTTGGCAAGAAAAGGAACGCTGCTGTAATCACTGCGGGTTATGCAATACATGCAACATAATAGGCTCGTGGCACCAAGCGTTTGCGGGGCACGGGGCGCGCCGAGAAGGAAATGGTTGATGCGCGTTCACATGTACGTCTACCTCACACAACGACAAGTACCTACGTACCTACCCTCAGAGAACCTCCAAACGAGGCCAAACGAGAGTGGCTACCACCATTCATACAGGAGGAGCGGGTTGTCCGCCCTTGTATGCATAGGCCACCCTAGCCATACTTCGGGCGTCTGAGGGATTGGCGTTGTGTTGGTGTGTGGTCATAGCGTGCGCGCTGTTTTGAACACCCACCGAACCTCCAGCTGCTGCCGCTGTGCAATCATGTAGAAGAGCACAAACAAAACAGTACCACAGCAGTACTGTAGTACCAGTACTGGCGTGTAGCTCAGCTTTCAGAACTACACCAGGAGCCAAACAGCGGCAGCCTCTGCTGTAGTACATAGAGGGGTGAACGAGCTTGCCGATGAACCAGTTGGCGAGGCAATCTTGGTGGTAACGGTGCTGCTGCTGTAAGTATACGTGCATGTAAAAGCAGTACATACAGCAGTAGTTTGAATTTTTTGCATTGTGCGTTATGTTGGCGCAGATCAAATTGGTGAGTTTTTCAAGGGAGACTGTATATAAACCGCCGGCACCTGCAACCACCTAATCATCTCCGATCCTCTCGCATCACGAACTTCACCCTCGCCTTTTACTAGGATGAACCGTGCGGAGAGGATCCTGAAGGAGTATCACTGATTTTTGACCCCACTCCGTGGGGTAAGAAGGACCACGGCGTACGCGTTGCTTGCCCATACCACATCCCAACCTCAACCAACACCCACAGCAACACCGCACAAAAAACAACAACAAAACAAAATTGCTTGGACGCACCGTACACAGCAGACAGACGGCACAGGAGCACATACATAGCGTGACCTCTGTGAATTGCGCCCCCTTCCTTCCTCTGATGTCTCTAAAAGTCATGAATAAACATCACAACAAGACGTTCTTCTGTCCGTCACCCCCGCCCGACAGCGTCCATCACACTTAGTAGTAGTTGTTGTTGTTGTTGTTGTCTTCACATTAAAAACCGTTCCGATCTCTCTCTACCCAGTACCTTCGTATGTCCGTAATGATCCAACACTCGACGCGGTCGATTCCCGTGGTCACAGGTTAACTTACCCTAAAAAGGTACACTCAAATAAACTGGCCCCGAGGGGTCCGCAAGTCAATAGAAATCAACGACAGATATTCTGGGATCCTCCGCTCCCTCTTCACGCTATGCGGGGTATCAACTGAGATTAGCAGTCACTATCTATCATGGGCCGGAGAGAAAGAGGCACACTCCCTTGGTTTAATCTTGGTACTTCACAACGCAAGCAGAGACAAGTCCATCTGGCACAGAAAAAGAGAGAAAAAAAGAGCGAAAAAAAAAAGGACAAAGAGGAAAAAAGAAAAGAAAAGAAAAAAAAAGTAGGCACCCCATAGAATAACAGAAACGTTTGCTGACACCGACGTTTGGCGCAGACCAAAATACCCCCCTTTTCAGGCTTGAGTGTATAGGAAAAAAAACTGGCACGGCTAGAACGGCATACCTTCTCGGCCTTTTGGCTAAGATCATGTGTAGTATCTGTTCTAATCAGTGTGAAAACTGATTGACGCTCAATGAGCGTCATTTTCACACCTGTTTTTGAAATCGTCGGGTTCGCACTGCTTGCAGTGTTCCGGCAGGATTTCCTCGGCATTCCACTACCGCCTTGTGAGGTCCGTCCCCTCGGGGACACAAACAACAAAACCAACCACCCAAAAAACACGATCATCAGCACGGATGCAAACAACTTCCCACCCCCACTAAAACTGAATAATATCACCTGTGTCCGTTTCAATGTGCAGGTGAGTTTGGGTGTGGTGATGGCTAATTAAGCGGTGTTCCGTTGTCGCGTGTACTGTGTTGTGTTGTGTTGTGTTTTTTTGTGTTGGTGGGAGGGTCGCAAGCGAACACCTCCCCGGAAAAAAATTATGCGGTAGAGATACCCCCGAAGGAATATTCTCCAGGGATTACAGCACTCCAGGGTCTAGCCCAGTGCAAGAGCCTGCTCCCCCTGGGGTCACCAGTCATCTTGACCACTGGCAAGCCCCCGCCAGGTAAGTATACTTGCTGCTTACAGCGTCGGTATTCTTTATATATAGTCAACCGTCCTAAACTCACCACTTTGGTCTGCGCCAACATGATGCAAACAAACAACAACCGTTTCTCTGTTTGCTACCACCTAGGACGGTTGTCTGCTGCGAACTTACTACCACCTAGCAATTTTCCTGCTTCGTGTACGCGATGGCTGGTGGTGCGTTGTGGGGATGAGTTTATGGTTCGAGTCCCCGATACCAACCCAACCAAATGTTTTTGGGAGGCTGGCAATCACTGCTGTTGTAAAAGCGGATCATCATTCGTGGGGGTCTACAGACTGTAGACATGTGCCACGGGTCCCGGAGCCTGTAGTCTACGCCCTCTACGGAGATCAACATTGATCTCGCTTCCGGTGGGCTCATGATACATACAGCAGCAGTGTGCCCACGCAAAGAAATGCACTCAAACAATCAGCTCCCTGAGGCGTATGTCCGGCCCTCTCTTGGAAATTGTGCGGCCCTCTGTTGGACTCCATCTTTACCGGGTACAGTATTCTCGCTTGCCAAACAGACGATTTTTCATCGGCAATAATGCTATTTGCTCCACCGTTATAGCTCTAATAATTGGCCTCAAACCTTTTTCGTCGTGTCCGCAAGGCCCTAATCGTGGAACTAGACCATCCGGCCAGTCAGCGCTGACTAGCCGGATGGTCTAGTTCCGCGATTAGAGGATTCCCGCACGAAGTTCGAATACCGGCCGGATCACTTTTCTTTGCGTAGAATTACCATTGACTGCGCAGCCGCGTCTGGCGAGGGGTCCGTCCCCGGAGATCTCTAGTCTCAATCCCAGTGAATAGGTCTAGTTCCGCCTCAAGCCCGTGTGATCCGGCCGGGTGCTAACGAGCTCTGAGCATATCTTTTAATCGGTAAAATTAGACCACCCGGCTAGTCAGCCGCTGACTAGCCGGGTGGTCTAATTTTACCGATTAGGCCCATCCCGTTCTTCCGAGCTATCGGACACTCCCATTCGATATGTTCCCGCAGATATATGGTCAACAGAGGGGGTTCCGCAGCATCTAGGCGGGGGGGCGAAATGTCAATTGTCCCGCTACACCTCCCGCCACATAGATAGCTGAACCGCGCCTTAACTCTGCCCGCACCGTGTAGGCACGGCTCACAGCTATCATTCAAGCCATTGAGCACCCCAATCGGAACAGTGGGTGCAGAGAAACGTCCACCCTCGGGAGCTCAGTGGCTCAAGGGCCGGTGGAGCAGATAAGCTTAACTGCTTCACCAGGCCAAACTCTATGTAACGGGTGTTGTTGTTTGCTCTACATTCCAAGGCTTGCATTGTGTCGGCCCGGCCCACAGCCATCATACAAGTCATCGGGCACCCCGATCGAGGGTGCAGAGAAACGCCCACCCGCGGGTGCTCAATGGCTCAGCGGTCCGGTGGAGGAGACTAGCTAATCTGCTCCACCAGGCCAACCTCTACGTAAATGGTGCACTTTGCTCTACGAAGACTCCCATTGTATATTGGCTCGGCCTACAGCTATTGTACAAGCCATCGGGCACCCCGATCGAAGCACAGGATGCAGAGAAACGCCCACCCACGGGGGCTCAGTGGCTCAAGGGCCGGTGGAGCTTATCTGCTCCACCAGGCCAAACTCCATCCGCTTGACATCGTTTGTCCTACTAAGACTGGCCTTGTCGTACAAGCCATCGGGCACCCCGATCGAACTAGTGGGTGCAGAGAAATGCCCAACCACGGGGACTCATGACTCAAAGGCCGGTGGAGCTGATATGTGGCCTTTGAGGCACTCCCTCGTTAGATTAACTGTACCCTCTCGTCAGATTCACTGTAACCCGATCAGATACGCTGTGTTCCCTCATCGGATACACTGTATCACCTCGTCAGATACACGGTATTCCCTGATCAGACACGCTGTATTCCCTGAGCAGATACACGAAATTCCCTCGTCAGATACGATGTATCCCCTGAGCAGATTCACTGTATTCCCTCATCAGATACACTGTATTCCCTTGTCCGATTCACTGCATTCCACCGAGTGCAGCGTATCTGATGAGGGGATACAGTGAATCCTATGAAGGAATGCAGTGAAAAGTTCAAGGAATACAGTGTATCTGAAGAGGGAATACAGTGATCCTGCCCAGGGAATACAGTGTATAGGATGACGGAATACAGTGATTCGAACCAGGAAACACGGTGTATCTGATGAGGGAATACAGTGAATCTGCTCAGGGAGTACAGTGAAAAGTTCGACGAATACGGTGAATCTGATTAGGGAATACAGTGATCCTGACGATAGAATACAGCGTAATTGATAAGACGGTGTATCTGATGAGGGAATACAGTGAACCTGCTCAGGGAATCCAGTGAACAGTACAAGGAACACTGTGTATCGGATAAGGGAATACAGTGACCCTGACCAGGGAACACAGTGTAGTTGATGAGGGAATACAGTAAAACGAGAGAGAGAATACGGTGTACTTGATAAGGGAATACGGTGAATCTGCTCAGCGGATACAGTGCATGTGATCAGGGTATACTGTGAATCTGTCCAGGAAGTACAGTGTAACTGCATCATTCCCTAGAGCACTGCGCCGTCCTATCACGGCGCCAAGAGGCACTCGTAAGCGGAGAGGAGGGCCCACAATGGAGATGGGGTGCTCGTTGTGGACGGGGAGTGCCGTTAGTTGAGGGGGAGTGTCCCAACCAACCAGGGAGGGGCGTTATGGGGCTGCTAGTTGGGGGGGGCGCCCGTTGTGGGAGAGGAGTGCCCGTCAACCCGAGGGGGGTGCCCGTTGTAGGGGGGGGAGTGCCCGTTAGCCTGGAGGGGTGCCCATTTGAGAATATTAACCCGTATCCAGGGGGTGCCCCTATCCTGCCGCAAGTCTTCGTAAGACTAACAGCGCCCTCTAGATAGAATTTGGCCTGGTGGAGCAGATAAACTTACCTGCTCCACTAGGCCCTTGCGCCACTGAGCCCCCGTGGGTGGGCGATTCTTTGCACCCACCGGTCCGATTCGGGTGCCCGACGGCTTGTACGATGAAAGTCTTCGTAGGACCAACATCGCCCTTTACATAGAGCAGTTAAGCTTATCTGCTCCACCGGTCCTTGAGCCACTGAGCCCCTGAGGTTGGGCGTTTCTCTGCACCCACTGTTCCGATTGGGGTGCACGATGGCTTGAATGACAGCTGTGAGCCGTGCCAGCACGGTGCGGGCAGAGTTAAGGCGTGGTTCAGCTATGTGACGGGAGGTATAGCGGGAAGTTTGACACCCCGCCCCCCCCCCCCTAGATGCCCCCCTTCCCCGGTGTTTGCCATCGGGGTTGGGTTTTCGTCGCTTGGCAACGACGTTGTATAAAAAGCCACCACCCCCACCCCCGTAGCGCAACGATGTTTGCCATCGGGGTTGGGCTTTCGTCGCTTGGTATCGATGTTGTAAAACAGGCCGCCCCCCCTTGTGTTTGCCATCGGGGTTGGGTTTTCGTCGCTTGGCAGCGATGTTGTAAAAAAAGCCAATTCACTTCTTGAACTCGGCAACCAGGTTACCGCTTTTATTTTTTTGCCTTTGGTTTTTTTTTTTTGCGGTAACCATGAATGGTGGTCGAGTAGGTTATGTTGTGTGGGGTCGAGAACCCTCACTCCGCGCACAGGGGAAAATCGCACGTTGTGTTAAAATGGTCAAGCACCCTCGAGGCAGTTACACAGCGCTTCCAACTGGCTCTGGAAGTGAAAGCACCAGAAAAAAAATTAAGTCATACGCAACTGTCATCCGTACGCAAGGAAGTAAGCACAAGATGCCGAACACCCTTAGCAGGATGCAGCGCACCCTTCATGCGACTCGCCGAATACCTCACGGCGCTTCGCGCCTGGTGATGTGGGAGCCTGGTCCGGTGAGAACCCGGCGTGCTCCGTCCCGGCTTTGTAGGGATGCGAGGTCAATGGTCTATCGACTACGGCATGCACGACTATGAGTACCCCCCCCCCCCGGTGTTTGCCATCGGGGTTGGGTTTTCGTCACTTGGCAACGACGTTGTAAAACAAGCCAGTTCACTTCGTGAGCTCGGCAACCAGGGGACCGTTTTTTTTTTGCCTCTTTTTTTTTGCGGTAACCATGAACGGTGGTCGAGTAGGTTATGTTGTGCGGGGTCGAGAACCCTCACTCCGCGCAAGGGGGATGATCGCACCACGTTGTGTTCAAATGGTCAAGCATCCTTGGGGCAGTTACACAGTGCTTATAACTGTCTCTGGAAGTGAAAGCACCAGAAAAAAATTAAGTCATGCGCAGCTGTCATCTGTACGCAAGGAAGTAAGCACAAGATCCCGAACCCCCTTACCAGGATGCAGCGCCCCCTTCTTGGGACTCGCCGAATCCCTCACGGTGTTTCGCGCTTGATGATGTGAGCCCCTGGTCCGGTGAGACCCCGGCGTGCTCCGTCCCGGCTTTGTAGGGATGGGAGGTCAATGGCCTAACGATTACAGCATGCCCGCCAAGGGGTCCCCCCCCCCCCCCTCCCCCCCCTAGATGCTGCGGACCCCCCTCTGTTGACCATATCTCTGCGGGAACATATCGGATTGGAATGTCCGATAACTTGAAAGAACGGCACGAACCGTGCGGACACGACGCAAAATGTTTGAGGCCAATTGGAGCTATTCGGGCGGAGGCTTGAGACGATTACTGCTTCCTGACATGCTGCGGAACCCGCTGTTCAGCATATCTCTGTAGCATTGCATATAGCTGTAGTCCATACCTACACGATTCATTTGATTTGAGGTCGATTGGAGCTCTGTGGGTGGAAATCTGCCTGGTGGAGCAAATAAGAGGTTACTCCACCGGTGGAGCAAAAGCATTGCCGATTTTTCATTCGCAGCTGGCTCCGAGTCCACCACAATCAATCGCGTTTTTTGCCGCGTCACCCGAACTGCCACAAGCCCGAAAGTCTGTGTTGTTTTTGGTCCTACCTCACCGCGACGCAAATGTGAGTAGATGGGGTCATCCTCGACAGACGTTGGAGAGAGAAAGAGACGAAGTGATGATGTTGAAATACGCGTATCACAGATGATCTCCACTAGCTGTCAGTTTCTTGTCGGAAACGACCTTAATTTCTTCTGCTTGATTCACGAGTGAGTTTGTTTCCTGTCGGCCGGTCGTGTGTCGAAGCAGTCCAAGGCGAAGCAGGCCGATACAAGAAAGTCCAGCATCTCCCAAGAGGCCAACTCGTTGCGCGAGCAGCTGGACCAATGTCTCCAGAGGTTGACGGACGAGCAAAACTGTACCGCTGAGAGTTCCAGGTGGGCAAGAAATAAAAAGGCCTCAAACCGAGGAAGCACCCGAAACACGGTAATCAACAACCAAGGTATTCTCTCTGAATAGGATTCCCTGCTTGGGCCGTCGTTTGTACCGAAGAAAAAAATGACGAGCCCAAGGAATCTTACCACTCTTGACAGGGATCAAACGAGCCGTGCCTCCCCGCAAGTAAAGCATGAGCATAGGAGCCCAATTCTTACGTTCTTATGGTATTAGCTGGTCAACCAATCCCATCTTCGCGGAAAAGTTGATCCCGCAGCCGAGACTACTGTAGTTCCCGTTTCGGCTCGCGCGGTAGCATGGGGTATTTAGGGTAGACGTCCTCGCTTCCACCCTCACTTCCTGGACCTTTCGCACAATTTGGCAATGTTTGTCGTGCCTTCCTCCTCCTCGCCATCGTGAGCTCTAAAGACAGAGTGTTTGATGACGAATCGCCATGTCTAGGATTTATCCCCTGCCTTGGTACCACTCTTTTGGTGTGAACAGGCAAGCGGAAGAGGAACGCGCGGATCTGAAAAACGCTCTCTCCAGCGCAAACTCGCGCCTGGCAAAGATGGACGCTCTGGAAGCGGATACGAAAGCTCAGGCAGAAGAGCTGAAGGAGCTGCGGGAGGAGAGGCGTGAACGGGACGCGAGTCTGGCGGAAGGGCAGAGCCGCACACAGCACTTGGTGAGATTGGGGGGTGCGGTGTTCTTTGTGGTATCGTGCTTTTTGCAGGAATCCCGAATTTCACGCAGAACCCCGCCACGAACATACAAAACAAAAAAACTGGAATGCCGCCTGAAAACGGTCCCACGCATGATATGATTTTGGGCATCGGTGCTATGAAAGGCCGGCGCTCTCAGGGAACTGGAATTGGAGTCTGCCGCGCTGAACTCTAGGGAGCGGGAAGCGGTTTCTCGGGCTGAGGGCCTCGAGCAAGAGCTTCACCATCTCGAGTCGAAGGTAAGGTTGCTCTGACTACTGTTACCTTCGAGAACGTTGCGCTGTTGTATCCCTGAATCTTTTCCAACAAGCTGCCAATGGGCACTCTACAGTCGTAACCGTGCACATCCCCAGAACAAACAAAACAACCCGTGTTTGCTCTCTGAATCAAAAGGGCAAGAAAACACAACAACATTTTACCCCGGAGGTTCTCCCTGACACAAGGATTTTATTCGTGCCTGTCTTGGCTTCCTCATGGCTTCGCCACGGAAAGGTCTCCGAGCTGTCACTTCGGTGTGAGGAGCTGCAAAAGCACGTTGTGGTGCTAAAATCAGGCGAAGAGGTCCAGGGTTCTCGCCGAAAGGTAACTATCTTTGGTTTGGTTATCACAAGAATGCCGGAGAAGCATCAACACTAGGTCGGTCATGGGCCTTCCTATCATGCAAGCCGCCCACTCACTTAGAAACCCATTGTGTCTCATTCGCGACTCTCACGGAGCACAATTTCACAGAAGCATCGTGTTTGCTTCTGACCGATATCGTTGATAACGGTCTTCGCTTTGCGTATTGACTTTTCGCCGTCTGAACGCCGGATACCTACAGTTTGCTTCATTTCATCCCGGCGCAAGCTGCATCAGGACGACGGTGAAATGATTTATAGACCGTTGCGATGTGTAGTTTCCCTGGCTCACGTGCGAAAACCAAACGGCAGGCAGCGGAGGCGTTCGCTCTGGCGGAGAGGCAAGACCAACTCTTGGAAGACACGTCGGCTAGGCTTGGCCATCTTAAAGCCGAGTCAAAGTGAGACACACTGTGGTGCACCCAGCAGAAGACACGAAGTATTCTCGGAGGCTCTTTGTCGTTAAACATCTTTCGATCAGAAATAGATGCACATGTCGGTGTGATTCTTTCAGCATGTTGAAAAGTCACATCTACAGCATTGATGCATGACACTTCAGCCCTTAGACCCCTTCCCTGTGTGCCACTAGCGCTCCTCTATTTGTATGTAATTCTGCAAATAGCTTTTAAGGAGGCAGAGGTTGTTCGAGACAACGTGAGAAGTAATCCCTGACGAACCGACGCAAGTTTCGATTCTAGCTAACTTTGAGCGGAGATTATCACCTCAAAAAGGGATGTGCCGTCAACGTTCAACGGTTGAGGAAAGTAACAAATGAATACGTGCCGCTCCCCACGTCGCAAAACTCCACCCGCTCGCTTGGAAGGCTCCTTCAGGAAGAGTTGGCCAAAACCAGAAAAAGTTCCGAAACCGCCAAGAATATCCTCGAACCGGTGCTCCAAGGCGCTAGGTCTCAGCTGGGACTGGAGTCGGGCGGTTCTTGTGATCGCCACCCAACAACAATGGCTGCGGCGACGCGAAAACAGCGTCGCCAGCAAGCGCACTCGTTCAACAGCGAATGCGGGAGCCAGGAAGACTTCGAGGTCGAAAACGGTGCCGGGCAAAGACAAGCCCGGTTGGATGAGGAGGGCGAAGATGAGGTGAATGCTGTGCGAAAAGAACGGAGACTTGTGATGTACCGTATTTGGGGGCGCACGGGGGGGTCGACGAACAGTAACCTCTATTGCTTCAATTGTCACGGGGCCGGACCTATTGTCGAAATATTGACCGCGGGGACAAACCTTCTCGTGCCATGACAATCAACGTTTGCGCGGGTAGCAGGTGGAATTGGAGGATCTGGCCAGAGAAGTTGCCGACGTTCTCTTGCATGTGCTTGTCGGGACCGAGGTTGGTCACGGAATGGGCGAAAATAAGGAACCAGAAGGGCGAAATGGAAGGACGAGGTGGACGGCAACCAGGTTTCAAGACGTGAGCTGAAATTTTCTCGTCAGTGCACCTCCACCGCTGTTGCCTGGTGTTGCCAGGAAAACCGTTCTTTGTATTGACCGGTCGAATTTCTGGGGAAACGTCTGCAACTGCTTCTTGTTTTGGGATCTCAAATCGGTCCCCACCACATAACAGCCGGTTGTGGTGGTGCTGCAGCCCACCGGAAGGACGATCCAAGTTTTGTTTGGTTTTCCTTTGGCAAGCGCAGTGTATCGTTGTTTCACGCGCAAAATGTTGAATAGAATCTCACGCCATGAGCGTAAAATGTAACCCCCAACATTGATCCGTTGGGTTCTATTCACTGGCACCTTGAGTACAGAATCCAAACCAAGGCTACTTCGATGGGTTCTGCCCCTTGTAGTGGCTCGACGTTGCTGCATGCACAATCTTCAGCTGTCTGCAATCTGCCACAAATATGCTCCAGGCAGGGGAACATGCTTGGGCCTCAACCCGTCGAAGATGTTCTGCCGGCAGAAACTCTCAGTCCGAAGGACCTTTACGCACCTCGAATCTCACAGCATCATCACCACGGTGGGGCATAGAGGACGCGGAAGAAGAACTCCAGTCGCGACACCATCGGCGGCGGCCGGTTGGTCAAAGAACTCCCGATCACGGGGGTACATATCGCGCCAAAGACGGGAGCGCCTGTATCGGCGTGAATTACGACAGTGCCAGCGCTACAAACAGGGCTACGAGCATCAGCGCGGAGAATAGAGGCGGGACTGGTGGGACAAGGGCTAAGCCGTCTTGTGAGCTGAGCCCGGGGGCCGTACAGTATGACCACAGGAGCGGAGTTGGTGCAAGAAGACGCGCAAGAAGTGAGAGAGGAGTTGCGGGCGCGGAGGCAGTCGCAATGCCCGATCACAACGCCGTTCGACGTATGGAAGGCATTCGAAAAGGAGGGGGTGAGGACGGGGGAGCGACGCTGCTTCATGGGGTGAAGTCGACACGGCGTGGTCACCTTCAAGGGGGAAGGTATGCAAGTGTTCCTAACGACCTCGAGCAATGCTGTGCGATTGAATACAACAATCGACAACTCGACTTTGTGTGGTGGAGTGCGTTCTTGAGTTGAGGTTTGGCCAAAGTGGACGGTGAAAGAAGTGCTGAAAAACGCATCACAGCTCAATGAGCGTCCTTACCCAAAGACGTTGCGAGGGAACGCTCCCGTCAAGACCGTATATGTATGCTACGGCGGGTTGTTATTTGCGTGCAAGGTTCAACGCATGCTACGTGTCATCATGAACCCTTCAGCAAGAACCGCAGTTCATCACGAATGGTAACCGCCATTAACATGTTCGGGAAGATACACGAGACGACAAATCTATGCTTCTCACGTACAGGAACCACCGTATCGCTTACGAGAGTTGGGTGAATAAAAGCCATCACACTGTTACTCCACATTACACCCTGCCGTCCAGGTGGGTGAGTTCGCCGTCGCGAAACGCAATAGAATGTCATCGGTGCAAGGTCGTTCCTTTAGCAATACCAGTTAGTGACGGCTATTAAACCATTCAAACTAGCCATGCGGCGACGACTGGTATGCCGACGTGCCCTCCGTCTGCCCACACGCCAACGAAAACCACAACAATGTTGCATTTTTTCTTGGTAGGCCACCCACTTCTATCGCGGACAGCTGGATGAACACTTTACTTGACGGCAGCAGCCTGTCTGCTTCTGCCGAAAAGGATACGCTCTTGAGCACGGCTCTTGCTGGCAATTCAAGGCCACGTGCATGGGTCAGGGGCGGTAGGGACGACAGCCGTCAGAGGACCACATCGTTGGGCTGCCAGAGTCCGAGCACTAGAAAGATCTGCCAACGCATCCACGACGCTCAGACGGCGCTACAAACTCTTCGTAGAACTACGGACTAGTTCTTAAGCAAAGCGCGTGCAGTATGTGACCCTTCGGTTGTGTAGGGAGCAGAGGCGGGTGCCTGCTTACCCCTCTGCCTTGAGTAGCCGTTGCCGTCACAACCCAGAAAATGTTTTGATGAGATTCAAATTCGAAAACTGATTTTCCTGTCACAGTCTTGAAGGAGGAAGCAGGTGAGTATTGGGCACGGGCAGTAGCCATCCATATCTGTAGACCCAATTGTGGGATGGAGTACCGTAGTTTTTTTTGGGATGCTTGGGGGGCCGGGCACATTGCGCGTTGTGGGACATCATGCTCCCCCCCTTAGCACGCTTCTGTGCTGTGACAATAAGAAGGAATATCCCCGGGGGAGAAACCCACTGGGGTTAGGTCAAACAAGAGAATACGCTGTGGCCTAACAACACGCTCTAGCGCGAACCGTGACTACGCGGTATCTCACCATGACGGGCCTCTCGAGAGCATCTACGAGCAATCCTATGAGCGTGAGAAGAACAAAAGTAGCTGAGGAATCTGCTACCCCTTGTCAGTATGCCGCAAAAGTGGATGCCGAGGAATGAACAGGGGAGAATAGGACAACAGGACCCTTTTGGTGATCCTATTCCGTCGGACACCTACCCTAAGAAACCGGTCGCCCCGGTGTGGTCTGTGGTTTCCCTCGCAAAACTTGGTATAATAGTGCTAATAGTGCCAGGTTGCCGGTCGTCTCTCTGCAGAGAGAAAACTCTGTAACTTGAGGGGCAAAACGAATAGAAATTCGGTTTCACAGTCTACGAAGCAAGGGGACGGCTGAACCCTACTCGCGATAACAACTAAGGCAAGCAGGTGCAAAGGTGGGGGCATTAAAAACAATTAAATACTACCGTAGTGACCTTCTCTCCTGATACATCACACATACATGTACACCGAAAGGCGTGTAGAATGGCTCCAGAATAGATGACTCCTACACACAGACACACACATTTACCATGCAAAGTATGACGCCGATGAGGCCCATCTGCTGCCAATAGCTAGAGCCTGTCTCTGAGGGTTACGTTGGTTGGACGTGGCATTCTCGTCGCAGCGCAATAGCCTCGGGAAAAATGTACATCAACACTTCGACGTCGACGTCGTCGTTGTCGGCGTCATCGCCACATGGCAAACGAGAAGCGGGCGGGACGGTCGGTTTTTCCCGTTCTCGTTCTACTATTTATGCCCACTAAATGCGGGGGGGCAATTAGTGCTATTGTCGCGGCGAGTGTTGTCACGAAGTCTATGTACACAACCAGGAGGCAAGCAAGACATAAACAGCACAAAATATCATGTGGTACGCCAGTTTCCTGCCGGCCGTACCATGGCATAGGAAAAATGTTCATCAGTCGCATGGAAGGTAACGGCGACCAGGTGCCCTGCCCACTAGTACGTACGTATGAAGGGAAACTCCGCCCCCCCCTCAAACAGCAAAAGCTATCCTCAGGCTAACTGTCCGGGCTACGGGGTCGTTTTCGTTTTGGGACGCGGATCCGGCCGGCCAGATCAAAGTTGTTACGGTACTCCGGCCACGTATTTTTGGGGGGAAGGTCTGTACGTGTTCCTTTTCATCTACATCCCCTCAAGTCCCTACACTGCCGAGACTGAGCATGTTGGGCAGATCGGCAGATCCCCAACCGAAAAGCGCCATCGCATGCGTCGTTCTCGCCCCCATCAGATCATACGTAAGTTCATTGCAGGGGAGAACTCCTTCGAGGCGCCGGTATCATTCCCGAGAGGTTCTCACGCCATCTTCGCACGTGTACCAAAAAGGATTTTTTTTTCCCTTCAGTCTATACAAACCCAAATCGCGACGAAAGCACGCCTCATGCCGCTTGGCCATCGACAACGCCAAGATGGTCTACTTCTGGGAACCCCCTGCTCGTCACGAACGTGCGGTTGGCGTCCCCTCCATCCTCCCCTGCCCCAGTCCCTCCTTGCGCTAGTTCCGCGGGGGTGGCTGAGGGAAATCCGGCAGTGGAACCACGCGCCCCTCCTCCCCCCGATGCTGAAGCCTTCTTCTTTCTCCGCACCCTGCCCCTGGCTTCCGGGGGGATTTTCTGAGAAGGGTCCGGTGGCATGGAGGCCGTCAGGCCCGGTATTGTTCCCATCACGCTCTGATGTGATAAATTTGGGACACGCGAGTTTCACGGAGGAAGATTAATTAGAAATTAGCTCGTGTAAGGAGGGGGCGAGGGTGTGGACGTCTTCCGCGGAATCACCTGGCTACACTGTTGAAAGTTGGCACGGGTCCATATCTACGACGTCTTTGCCCCCCAGTTTCTCCCCGATTCAGCAGGCGGGGTGAGAGAGGCAAGGGTTGCGTCTTGAGGACGTTTGCGTATCCTCAACGGATACATTGGTACCGTGCTATTCGGCGTGCTCATCTTGATATTATCGGGGGAAGCAGCCCTAACTACGCACAGGTGCGAGTGGAGAGATGTAGTTTAGCTCTATGGACTCGGGTGTACAAGTACTCACAACTAAATAAATACATGGCCCACTCGCCGCCCGGGCGTCCGGTCAGAACGTCAAGTGGATTGCAGCCAAGAACATCAAGGAAGGCACATTTCAGAAAACGAACCCGCGATAGCCCATTCTGTTTTTATCTGTAATATAGGTGCCTCCATCGGCCCTTGGAGCCTTTGCCTCTCTGGTGAGTGCACCCTCGCCTTTCCTTTGAAGAAGTTGGAACGCTGACTCATTCTAACTCTTTTCGGCAACGGTAACAAAACCTCCCAATCACACAGATCTGCCTCTGAACTATCTAGCTAGTCTGTTCACCTTCTTTATCTCCTCCGTCAACTTGAGCCCCTCCACGTTCTGCTTGGACTCGAGGACGGTCTGCACGTTCCGGTTGCGCTGAAGCAGGCGTTTGCTGTCAAGGTTCCTCTGTTTGATATGCTCCTTGCGCCGGGCGTCAATTCTCTTGAGCAGCGCCTGCAGCTCCGACTGCGCAATGGTAACGATCGAACAGGGCCACCGGTTTTGTTTTTGCTGCAGTGGTCGGGCTACGGAAAGACGCGGACCCGGCGCGATAGGAGGTTGTTGGTGGGCCGTCCGACGAGTCTTGGGTTAACGAACACATGTTGACATTCTTCTTGTTCTTCGCCTTCTCACGAGAAGAGTAGTCCCTACCCCTTTTCCAAGAGCAAACCGATCCAAGCTCACACTCAAGGTGAATGGCCGCCCCAAGGCTACCACCGCAACCCCTCCCCTGATGATACAGGATCAACCAGGATCAACACCGATCTGTTCACGACCGTGTACCTCTAGATCCTTCGGTTGGCGATTTGCGGTACATGTAACAATACATGCATGCTTCGTACAATCAAAGTTGTTTCGATGCGACTTTTGCGGTGAGGAGGTAGACTAATCTGGTACCATCTTGTACCAAGAGTGGGTTCATGAACTTCAACCTTTTCCCTCGCTGAAACAGTCCCAGATTGTCCCTTGGGCTAAGAAGCTCTGCTGAGCGGTGGACCCTACACTATGTAATTGTATACCTCTGAAGTACAATGAGACCTGCTCGACGGTGGTGGTGACGAAACTAGAAGTTGAGCCTCGAGCCGAAATTGACGTTTTGGACGTTCCTTTTCTCCGGGCGCCAACTGTACCTGCTGCTGGCCACGAAAAGCCGCTTCTTTCCTCGCCAGAAACAGGCCCCAGTTTTCGGTCGTCGCGTTTCGTTCAGATTCCTCCAGTTGGTCCGCTATTTTTTTCACCTGTTGGTGTGTCAAGTGGGAGCTGCATTGTTGACGAACGTGGCGTTCAAGTCTAGTCTAGTCTTTACTCTTGCCCAGTGAGCCATGATCCATGCGCCACGTACTCTCATGCGCCATGTGTACTCGCCTTCTGTGCCTCCGCGTAGTTCTTCTGGCGTGCCAATATATGTTGTCTGCGTCTCCACTCGAGCAGTTCCTGTCGTGTGATGTGTACATACAGCAGCGGCGGGAAGGTTGGAATGTCAGCAATGCTCGCCCTGAATTTTCCATCCACTAACTGTTCGAATGTTTCCACACCATTCAAGGGAGCCAAAAGCTGAGGTTGACCTCCTCTAGAACGTAGGGGTGTGCCAACAGCGACCGGCGACCGACACACCGGCTGACTGACCGGTTCGTTGCTGTATGAGTTGTACTGTATAAGCATCTCCGTAGAGGGGCTGCACTTCATCTTCGAACATCTACGGAGGAGGTGCTGGTGTGTACCAGCTACTGCTGCTGATGATGTAGAGTTTGGGTACCGAGATCCGCCACACCCGAAGGCTGACCTACTGCTGTAGTCCACCTTAAGTGCATTGCACCCAAGTATCCCCAAAGAGGAACGTGTCCTTGATGGATGACTTGATGATTATTCGATCAACACTCACCCCATCCACGATGCACGAAAGAAACAGGCAAAAAAACAGCGATTTTTTCATGTTGGCGCAGACCAAAGTGGTGAGTTTAGGACGGTTGACTATATATAAAGAACACCGACGCTGTAAGCAACGAGTATACTTACCTGGCGGGGGCTTGCCAGTGGTCAAGATGACTGGTGACCCCAGGGGGAGCAGGCTCTTGCACTGGGCTAGACCCTGGAGTGCTGTAATCCCTGGAGAATATTCCTTCGGGGGTATCTCTACCGCATAATTTTTTTCCGGGGAGGTGTTCGCTTGCGACCCTCCCACCAACACAAAACACAACACAACACAAACAACGAATGTACAACCAACACAACCAAACACTACTATTTACTGTAGCTGCCAACCAGAACGCCCACGCGCACAAGTGATTGATAAACACAATCACTTACGACATGTGATGTACAATGTACAATGTTGGATGTACTCACAGCATCAACAGATTATTGCGAGCAAGAATTTCCCGAGCAGATGGAGCGGGGAGTTTGGGGGGTCAATGGTTGCTATGGATTAGATTTGGTGGTACCAACTTTATCACATATTGCAGGTTTGAGGGTATGGGTGTCTACAACGGAATTTGTGTGCGTGGCTTGTGGTTCCTCACTTCCTTTTTCTGTGTATAATCAAGTCCTTTTTCCGGCTCTCACGCCAACCCCGGCTTCCACGCCCATACTCCGGCTATCACGCCAACCCGGCTTCCACGCCTTCAGGACTCCCACGTCCCTACATATACCTTTACATCAGGGCCACCACGCCACCCGGCTTCCACGCCACAACTATATTATACACGAGCTTCCACGCTCCACCACGTAGAAGGGCTTTCACGCCCGCGGATAGTTTCTACATTTTGACCGTTGGCAGTACCCAGCTGCTGGCACCTTTTGTTTCCCACTACGGGACCCCGCGCCGAGGCACCCACGCACAAAGCTACTCAACACGCTAGCGTTTCGATCAAGAGAGTGGCCGCTGTGTCTACGCGCGCAAGATGCCGGATGGAGACGGACGACAGCCTCCGGGGGGACAAGGTCATGGTGATCCTTCCCCGGGAGAAGGCACCGGCGATGGAGGAACCAACTATTCGTTCACCGCCGATGCAGAAGAACAAGACAATCTGGGAGGGAGAGCGGCGGCGGGGGGAGATCAGCAAGACTCGATGCGTCAGCTGGTCGACCTTCTCAAGCATGCTTTCACGGCAAACTCCCAGGACCAGGGGCATCGTGCCCATTCAGGCACGTCTAGCGCCCAGACAGTAGAGTTGAAACAGCGGGACAAAGTCGAGGTCCCTGTTTGGAGTGATGATTTCCTCAAAAATCGATCGATGGAGGTTGCGTTGCGGATTTTCACGAGTGCGTTTGAAGCGTGGATGGAGAACGAGGGAGTGGTTGACGCAATGAGAGGCCCAGAGATTCCTGTAGCTGCAGCTCAAGTGAATGTGGATTGGATGAAACGTTCGTTTGGTGAGGAGAGAGTAAAGCAGTCTAGGAAGGTATGGATTTTCATGCTGTCGAAGATCACGGCACAATCTATTCAAGGGCAATTGCTCGCAGCGGAGAGTCCGCAAGCCGGGTACAAAATTTTCTTGGACTACTACCGACGCAGTAAAAACGAGGAAAGACAGACGTTTGATGATCAGTGGAATGTGCTGTGTCAGAGGAATGGAGAAAGTTTGATGGACTACTTTGGTAGAGCTAAGGCGCTTTGGATGAGACTGGTGTCATACGGTGATAATCGTGCTGAAGTGTCCATGTGCAAGCACATCGCTCGGGGTTTTTTGCCAGAATTTGAGAAAATTAAAGAGCGTGTCCTTTTTCACCCCCATGTTGTCGAGTGCACAAATGCAGGAGGCGTTGAGGACGGCTGAGCACGAGCAGAGGTACGAGCGGAGGTCTGGAGAGAGAGGAGAGGAGACGAGGCACGCCCTCGTCGCTGCCGGCATGGGCCGGGGCGGCGGGCAGAGGAGACCAGCCATTGTCGGCATGGGTCACGGCGGACCGCAGCAGCAGCAGCAGCAGCAGCAGCCACAGGCGTCGATGCAGCCACCGCAGCAGCAGCAGCGGCAGCAGCAGCAGAAGCAGCAGCAGCAGCTGGGACCGTACATCTGCCAGTACCACGGGCCCAACACCTCGCACGCGACCGCTGACTGTCACAAGTTGCGCAGCGAGTTCCTGGCGAATTACAACGAGATCAGCGCGTACTTGAGCGGCAGGAGGGACGCCGAGGCGGCCGCTCATCCACGAGGCGGATCGCAGAACCTGGGGCGGGTTGGTGGTCCATCAGTACAGCAGTCGTACCAATTCCAACACGGTGCGGGCTGGAGTCAGGGCCACCCTCATGCGCCTCAGGGGCCGCCGCGTGGGCCAGGACCCGGAGCTGGGGGGCAGATGCAGGGGCGCAACGATGGGGGACGGGGCTACGGCGGCTACGGGCCTCGCCCCTACGAAAGCCGTGGGCAAGGCGGCGGCCGCGGGGGCAATTTCCCGCCGGCCAACGTACCTGCAGGGCAGCTTGCCAGCGTCCCGCGGCCCTTTTTTCCGGCTCACCTGGCCATCGGGGGCGGAGATTCGTTCGGTGGCGAAAGCAGCTCGGGATGGCAGCAAACGTCGGCGCCGGCACCCACGCCAAGCTGGGCCCCATCACCTTCCGAGGCGGGATACGGGTATGGGCTCGCGGCTCACGGGGGGAACCACAGCGGCGGTTCCTACGGCAACGCCGGCGGGGGATTTGGCTTCGGCTATTTTTCCGAAGACGGCGGGCCGCACCAGCAGCAGGAGGCCAACGTAACATACTGCCCTTCTGCTGCAGGTCCTGACGCGTATCAGCCGAGAGTCTACAACGAGGCCTTCTACGTCTCGGAGCAGCCGGCGCCCTTCCCGCAGCAGCAGGCGAGTTTTGAGCAGCAGCAGGAGCAGCAGTACCACGGCGTGCCTCAGGCGGCCTCTTCCTCCTCCTCTCCCTCTCCAGATCCAGGTCGCACGTTCTACCTCCTGCTGGCGACGCCCCTCTTCGTCTCTTCATGGCACGAAGTGTGTGCCCTCGAGGCAAGTTTGATTCTTTTCTTGAGTCTGCGTTTGGTTTTAAGGCGTCTGACGTTTTCGTACCTGCTGTACCCGGTGTTGACCCTGAAATGCTTGCGAGTCACGATAGGAATCACTGTTTTTCTGAGCAAGATTTGCACAGGGTTGCTTCTCCGAGTCTGTCTGCGATGTTCGAGAATTATGAGAAGGAGACCGATTTTCATGAGACTGATGCGATTGTGCCCGCTGTGCCTGACGTGGTTGTGAGTACTGAGTCTGATGGGATAATGCATGCTGTCCATGATGTGAGGATGCCTCCTATGCCTGCTGTGATCGCGACTGCTGAGCCGGATAAGATTGTGCCTGCTGCCTCTGATGTATCTGGAATGCTAATTGTAGCTCGTGTCACCAAGCGTCCCACAGTAGACAAAGCTTTTATATGCCAACCGTACATGCC